CACGTATTTTCGAATGAACGCAACAACTTCCTCATTTGACGATTTTCCGAGTACTGGAGCATTTTTTATCCAAATCATACAGCGAACGTGCTGGATACTTCTACTTTGATATTCCAGTCGCCAGAAGTAGTAAATGACCTCTCCTATTGGGTTGTCGGACGAACAAATAAAATCAATCATGGCTTTAAATTATATACAAATGAATCTAGACGTACTCACCGGATCGTATGCGATTAGTTCGCTGATACCCAACTTCTCCTTATCGGAATTCATGTCTCGTAAATATTCAGCCAAATCGGACCATTTCCATTCACTAGGACTTAAAGTTAAAAACCACGTCGCCGGACCATAATGCAGAGTCATACACTTTACATTATTGGACGGTTGTCGCCAAAATTGATCCGTATTTCTCAGTTTTGTAAAAATACTCATTAAATTCGATTCCAATTGATTGTCTTTCAATTCGTTCAAGTACCTACCAGCAGTGTATCTCTCTCGTGGATTAGCAACCATCATCGTATAAATACATACATTCCATTTTTCAATTATCGGTAGTTAGCATCATTCAGAAGAAAGAACAAATACTGCAGATTCGTCCTGAATCTACTGTGTTTCGACATCAACCGCGCTCTGACAAATAAATATTCCGGCAATGCAAAGTTTCTATCTTCTCGTTGTCCATTGACACCCTCGGGATATAAATCGGGGAAACACATGACATCCAGATATTTATAACGATTATCCATTGGAACATCTTCAATTTTCAACATTTGATAGAGTTTCAATGCAGATTCGTTACCGATTCTTTTTGCGTGCATTGGGTATATTGTATACTGATCATTAATACCCGAATCTGTAGTAATTTGCGTGAGGAAAGTTTTACGTTTTAAAACGGTTTCATTATTGTTATCTTCGTTATGCTTGTTATGTACAGTACACCTCGACAGCGGCTCAACCACCTCCTCTATTTCATCACTATTGCTTTCGTCATGAACGATCCGATATTCCGTTTGTGGTAACTTATCATTTATATGATCGTCAGCCGACGCTGGAAGACGAATTTTCGAGTAGTGAGGATTATGGTCTTTCAACCATTATAAAGCCTTGTACACTTTATTAATATCCACTAAATTTTCCCAAACAACTTTAGACTTTTTAGGTATACCTCGAACTAGGATGTACAACTCGTGATTCAAATTGATAGAATCTTCCGGAGGAAATACCTTATCCAAAGTTTCTTGTAAAGGCAGAGGCAAATGAAATGTTCTACCTTTTACTTTGCGAATCATTTGTCTGTGCTGCATATGTTTGTTGGAAACAACACCCATCGTTTGTACTACTTGGAAGCTGCTCACTCTCTTGATTAACATTTTCTCGTAATCATTAAAATCCGACAAAACATCTGGTAATGGTTTAACGGCAAGGTTATTTAAAACGCAAATTGAAGGCAACACACCTTTGTAAAATTTGTTCAAACAAAACTTACAAATGAATTCAGTATCACTATTATATACTGTTCCCGTGGGTTGGGCTACCTATCGGGCGCGTCTCCAGGTGTCGGATAGGAGGACCCCCGGAGGGGTGCCCGGTCTCCCGGGTGTAAAACCCCGTGTGTAACTCGATGTACCTCCGGGTAGTGACGGTTATAAACGCACCTCCAGGTGTAAAGCCCTGCGTGGGTTCGGGAAGACCGTTGCCGTGGACCAGCCCCCCAAGCCAAGCTGGAAGCCATCGAGGTGAAGGCTGCGTGGCACTGGGGGAGCAGTGTCGTGATCGATGCCTCTGGGGCACCGGGCGAAACCTCAGAGTATCTAGCCTTACCCACGCATGCGGGGCTCTGCGTGGGTGGACATAGTCGTTCCCTAGCTACTCGTGGGACTTGCATGGAAGATTTTAATAAACTAAACATACAAGAGGTAACCGAGGGCTCGAAAGGGCACTCGGCGGGAACTGCTGCGATCGCGCCGCAAGTACAGGCC